CTCATCTCATCTCATCTCATCTCATCTCATCTCATCTCATCTCATCTCATCTCAACTCATCTTACCTCATGTCATCTCATGTCATGTCATGTCATCTTATTTCATTTCAATTAATCTTATCTCATTTCGTTCGAAATGGAATGTCATGTTGCAACTTATCATTAAAAATCTTTGAAATCCAAATTTTTCCATATATAACATTCTAGGGCCACATCAGCCCTTATTCAATATCTACGGATACTATATAAACCTGCTAATACTGAATAAAGTAATTATGTAGGGATCCATTTAGAAATAGCCAAATGTTGGTCTATCACTGAGGGTTTGTACCATCGGCTGGGTCAGTCATCATCCAATTGCATCATACTCGATTTTCCATCCCATCCTGAAAATTGCTGACATGACGGTGGAGTTCGAATACTAAAATCATGAAGACAAGACGCGAATCCTCATTAACCTTGCACTGTGTGATTGACAGAGAGCCCTGACTGCTGACAAATTATATTCAGTCTATTTACTTTCCGAATTTAGCATCGTCCTATGCAGAGATGAGTATTCGTTGTTAATTGTCTCCAAAACAACATTTGCCCTTTCAATAAGATAAAATATTTACGTCACCTCATCAAGTAGATCAGAGCAGTAGTCAGTTTAGCTCGCAAACGTGGACGATGGACTGATGACTGGATTTTCCCACTAAGATTAAAATGCGGTTTAGCCTTGCTGCCCATAAGGCTTTTACATACCAACGGGACTGGATCGCAGCTTCCACCACGCCTCATCGCCTTACCAATAGCTTTTCCTTCGACGGGATTCGAAATTGGCTTGTTAGCGCAAAATGCCGATTCTGGGTCTCACGGGACACGGCTACACTACTTGTCCCCAGACTAAGTAGTTTGCAAAATTATGTGCACATTTCGAAATTAGGGATGCTGGGTAAATACTGCTTTTGCTTACATAACTTCTATTTGATGGCAATGCTTATCGTCCGTGTTTTCTTGTCCATTCTCAATCAGTTCCTGTTCATTGCCGCCTGCGTTGGCTACAAAATCGAGCCGGTCTCCATTCCGGAACGTGAAGTGTTTCCCGACAATTGGGTGATCGCAATCACCTGGCTGGTTGTCCTCTCTTCCATCATTTTCATCCCTGCCTTCATGCTCTTCCTCCTGCTCACCACAAAAGGAGACTTCTTCCAGGTTCCAGCCTCATTAACCTTCTGACTTTTCTTCTCCCCTTCCAATATTCACCTTTTAATTGCTTTATTTTTACGCCTGCTTGACATCTGCATTGGCATCAGGTTTGGGCACCGAGTCGTCGACGCGAAATTTGAGCTCTAAAACGCATCACAGACAACTCGCTTCAAACAGCTGCTTGTCAACTGGCTTTCTTCACTGACCATTTTGGGCGTCTGTTTGTGGGTTGGGGCTCTGGCTAAATGACGAGCCCAGATCTGCTTTCAGACATGCTATTTTAGCGATCTTGTCACATTCTCCTTTATCAACCCGCGACAGCAGAGCGACTGTAGCCACCAATCTGGCTGGTCTTGCCAGCCACGGGATGGTATCATTTACATTTCCGGCCTCTTTTACGCTCGAAGTAGCTCCCCACCGAGGCCCATTGCCGAGTCTGTTGAGGGGCTAACCGTAAGGAGGTAGGAAGGGTGACCGAATTCCGAAGAATCTTCTCTTCTGGAGACTTTTATTTCGCCCGAAAGTGCATGACGAATAGATTTGAAGACTGATGCCTTGCTTCTGCTACTGTTTGGCTTGAATACGACATTCAGATTGACGCAGTCCACGAGACATCCCCTCTTCTTTTGGACGAAAACTGGATGATCTGTCGTC